GCTCACACACACACACACACACACACACAGAGAGAGAGAGAGAGAGAGAGAGAGAGAGAGAGAGAGAGAGAGAGAGAGAGAGAGAGAGAGAGAGAGAGCGATGATGTTGTCGAAGTGGAGCTTAGTTTCCGTAGATTGCCTAGGTTAAGCAGTCGCTGACCTTTTGTTAACAAGGGCCTCGCTCCGCTACTCACGAAATTTGCAAAATCAGAATGAATCTTCCACTAGAACATGGGAAAATACACCGCCATATTTTTCGTCCTTTGTGCATCTGGTGAGTGGCGGAGCGAGGCCCTAAGTAGCTGACGACGATGTGTACCGATCGGACGCTTCCCGGGATTTGATTTTTTTCTTCTTTTCCAGTCTTATTATGTATTTCTTTGTTTGCCCCCCAGTGGATAAGCATCTGATCTCAAGAGAAAAAGAAAAAAAAAAACACATCTGAAGCCAAACCAGCAGAGAAACTAATTCCGTCAGAAGAATGGACATCAGCCCGGACACATCTGAAGCCAAAGCAGCAACCCCTCCACAGATGAAGGTTCGGTCCCTCCCACCCCTTCAGGAACTCGATCGTTCAGCTGCAGCTGGCTGCTGACCCAGGCTCTCGTCTACGTAGCCCCCTTTGTTTGTTCGTCTGCCCCTTCTATTCCTCCCTTACATCGTTTATCGGTGAAGTAAGACGCTGGCAGGGTCCCTTTTGGACATCCATAAAAAAAAAAACAAATGGGAACGATACAGAGAAATTTATTATTAATATTAACATATCCCCCCCCCAAAAAAAAAGAAAAAGAAAAAAAGGCTGACAGCTGCGCCAGGATGACGCGCATAGTCGAGTGATGGTCCAAATTATGGGAGGGAAAAAAAAAAAAAAAAAAAAGACGCGGGGAGGGGTACGTCCTCTGGCCTCAGATGGACTCTCTATTGAGAGTCAGCATCACGAATCACCATCGTTAATCAGGCTATTAACGGCCTAGCTTGAAAATCATTTGCCTTGTCAACGAGTGGTTGAACGAACAGGCGCAGCCTGCATAGGAGGGAGGAGGAGGAGGAGGAGGAGGAGGAGGAGGAGGAGGGGGGGTACAGCCGCCTTCGGTTCGACTTTGTTTCAGAACAAACTGTGTGTTCTTTTCCTCTGCTTGTATGCCCCTTTCCCATGTCATTACACACTTTGGGCCTACTCACCAAATCTGCAAAATGAGAATGAATCTTCCGCTAGAACATGGAAAGATACACCGTCATATGTTTTGTATTTTGTGCATGCGTATAGTGCATCGAGGCCCTTTGCCTAAAAAACAGATTTCATCTAGCGGCTGACTGCATCGAATCGGCCACAATCAATTGCTACCGGGCGATTAGGAGATAAGGGGAAAAATAGCCAATTTGTATATGTATATATACATATATATAACGTACGTATATGTATATGTATATATCATACGACCATCGACACGCATATGAAGTGAGCAACAGCGGGGTGGTCTGCTCGGCTCTGCTCTGGTCTTTCCCCCGGCCGCCCCTCTCTCTCTCTCTCTCTCTCTCTCTCTCTCACACACACACACACACACACACACACACATACTGAACGAGGGATATATATATATATATAGTTGTCGGGCAGTCATTGAAGCTTAACCACAACCGGGGTTAAGGTGAAACTCCGACAAAACAGTATGTCACAGCCCCTCGTTTGTGAACTACTACGCCCTCGCCACCAGGCGTCGGCAAGTAGACGCACACAGACGTGGAAGGATGCACTGCAGGATATAAAGTCTGTTTTGGCCAGCGTTTGGTCATTTTTCCCTTTCTTGCCTGCTCTATCCACGTTTAGTGCTCACTTCCCGCCCTTCACTTGTCCTACCCCATATACCAATGTCGTCCGTACGGGGGAAGTGCATAGATCAATTCCAGCACCGTTCATATGGGGTAAGGCCCGTGAATATGCGTGTGTACGCGTGTGTGTGTT